TGCCATTATTATCAATACCGTCAAAAATACCAATATTATCAATGTCATTAATATTACTATTTACCAGTACTGTAGTAGCTGTAAAATTTCACGTATATGCGCTATTGAGCAAGCAAATATTCATGCTCCCCTTTTTATTCGATCGAAAAAACTGACCAAACCCGCGCAAAATATCAGAGCTCATTCTTTTATAGAATTTTCAGTCAGTGCTCTTATACATAACCTTTTCCAAATGCCTCAGAAAAATCCGAGTTTCATTATTATTTCCAATGAAATATGTCCATCTCTTTTTAATTATCCCAAAGAACTGGTGCAGCCAAGGCTTTCCGGACGAGAACAAATGCTATTGAATTTTATGAATTCCTCTGCCGTTACATTACTGTTGCCTGGTGTTACACTGCCTTTACGATTGAATAAAATCATTGAGGCGACAAATTGAGAACTGAGAATATGAAATCAAAATTTACCGATGCTTCGATCGACGAGTGCTACCGAAATTTGCATATTCACGCTTCTTTCGGACCTCACATGCATTCGTACGTCTGAGAATTGCTCACGGAGAGGTAGAAGTACGCTCAGCAACACGATAATACTGACATGCTCCGCGTGATGGCATTGCAGCTCTCTGGAAGAATATAAAAAATACAGCATATGGAGCGGAAAGGTTGTTAGCGACTTTTTTTATAAGTGTTTTTCCTAATTTTCACTTCATTTTCACCTTATTTTTCTTCATTTATCATTCAAAATTGGTTCCTGCGCTGATACATACAACGGTGAAACATCAGCTGATCAAAGTATCAAAATAGTATGTATGTCTATATGTGGAATTATGTGCATGAGAGAAGCGCAAAACAGAAAAGAATGGAGAAGTTGCCAGCTGCATCAGTGACGAGAAGAAACGCGACAATGAAACAACAACTGCTCAGAAAGCTAAGATATCGTCAAAGAACCAGTTTGTCATTTACAGTATATCACAGCGAACTGTTATGAAAATACGCTACAAAAGAGACAGTTGCAGTAATGCGAGGTGGAGCAACACGAGACGCACAGAAATGCCAAAATAAGGGGATTTTTTTAAACTAGCATATTTCTAATTTCTCATCAAAAAATACCAGTTAACTGATGGCCTGGTTTTTCAGCTGCGCAACTAGCAACTTCGCCACTTATTTTGATCAACACTCCATCGCTTGTAGGTCAGCTTTCTGGCGATCCTGACGTTCGTTTCGTCTCCTGCAAAAATTAAATGACCCATGATTCTACAGGCAGGCGCAAATGCCAAGGTTTTAAACTGTCGTTTTAGGAATATCAAGAAACTATCAAAAATCCCATAAAAACTACCACAACAACAACCCCATCCTGACCCCAATCCAGAAATATGGTGCACTGTACATACTACGGGCAATTACTAAAACTCGGCTCGGCTCGGTTCGGTTGATGTACGAATTGCGAAAACTGCTGTTTGGGATGGGAATTTGGGTAATGTTAGATGGGGAGAGGGGCGGTGTGGTGCGCAACTTTCGGCTATAGAAGCTCAGGACCGAGGAGGGCTTGGGATAAGCGGCTATGGGGTGTTCCTGTCTGAAGTATCTT